CCAGGTTTTAGAGGCTTTACCTGCCTGTTCGTCGTCTCCTTGTCGAAATGGTGGAACATGTAGACTTGCTGGGTGTAACGATGATTACACATGTGACTGTGCAGAGGATTATCATGGCGAATACTGTGAAAAGTGCATTGGTGAGTGACGTCACTATTTGACTACATTATCAGCACATAGACATTTTCTGAGATAGCGGTTTGCATTGCATTGTGGTCTAGATTCGGTACAAACATGTTTTGTTCATGTTGCTAAATCTGGTGTTATTTGTACTGAAGCTGTAGACCACAATGCACCTTGATTTTGCATCTCAGAAAATGTCTATGAAAATAACTGCGGTATCTTGAAATACGACCGGTAAGGGGACTTAATTTCTTTCACACTTATAGACAATCATTCAAAGGATCTATCATTGCCAGATTGTCGGTCGAGTCACTTGGATACAAATGTATTAGTTAACTTCCAAGATGGCCTGTTTATCAGGATAAACTGTGAAGGGGGACTATGCTATAGGGCGATCTAATAGTTAATMTTTCTGACATCCAGGTTTAGATGGTTCAACCAGCGCACGACCTGGACATTCATGCAAGTACATCAATAAGTATGGAAAAGCCAAAGGGGATGGAGACTACTGGATTGACCCGACACGATCTGGAAAACCATTCCTGGTATCKTGTGATATGACAACAGATGGAGGTCAGTATAAATCTTAATGATTATTAAGAAACAGAGTAAAATTCAAAAAACCTTTTCTTTACTACATTATCAAATGACAAGTTTATTGGAGGGAGACAGTCATCAGCAGCAAATCATGTTTTATAGTCCAAATGACTCAAAACCTTTGCATATCTAATAGATGATCTAAGGCCTGTATGGGAATAATTTGCCTGATAATTAACGAGGCGAAAGGAATACACTTTGAGTTTGTGCGGGGAAAAAAGAACGCATTTATACTTTTAAAAAAAGAAACGAGGAATCATTTGAGGTCGGTGTTCATTTCCTGTGTATTTGTTTAGTTTTTCATATTTTGTTAAACTTTCCACGATTTGAACCTTTTAAAATTAAGAATAGGACTTTTGTCKTGATAGGAGGATGGACTGTCGTGCATCGATGTGAGCTAAAGTCGTCCAGTCCAACAGGTGCTATAGATATGCCAGATTATAGATCCATGAAAGAGCTAAACTGGAAAAAAAGAATTAATACTGATATCTTATTGAGCCTCCGAAACGACATGGGATTCAATCAGATGCGATTCTATTGCCATAAGAAAGCCGTTAAAAGGACAGTCCACGTGATGACAAAGAGGACTGATCGTGGCTATGATGTCATCA